GGGGACTGGGTTCGGTACCTCAGGGGTATGGGACTAGGGGTCCGCCTGGCGGGGAAGAAGGGGGGGGTGCTGAAGGTCTCCACACACACAAGGTTGTGGGGGGGCCCTCGCGACTCCACGTCTAGACGACAGGAGCCCCGCGGCATTGAAAGTGCAAGGCGCGGTGCGCGTGGGTGAGCGGTGTGTGTGTGTGTGCGTGCGCGTGCGCGTGCGCGTGCGTGTGCGTGCGTGTGCGTGTGCGTGTGCGTGTGCGTGTGCGTGTGTGTGTGCATGTGTGTGCGCGTCTCTCTCGAATGGCGGTACACGGTCTGCAGCTCGAAGGTGCGGCCGACCATATCTCCCCATATCTCCCCATATCTCCCCATCTCTCGCCTGGCGGTACACGGTCTGCAGCTCGAAGGTGCGGCCGACCACATCTCCCCATATCTCCCCATATCTCCCCATCTCTCGCCTGGCGGTACACGGTCTGCAGCTCGAAGGTGCGGCCGACCATATCTCCCCATATCTCCCCATATCTCCCCATATCTCGCCTGGCGGTACACGGTCTGCAGCTCGAAGGTGCGGCCGACCACGCCGCTCCAGCAGTCCGCCTTGAGATGGGGAGGTGTGGGGAGGTGTGGGGAGGTATGGGGAGGTATGGGGAGGTATGGGGAGGTATGGGGAGGTATGGGGAGATATGGGGAGGTATGGGCAGGTATGGAGAGGTATGGGGAGGTATGAGGAGATATGGGGAGATGTGGGGAGATATGGGGAGAGACGGGGAGATATGGGGAGGGACGGGGAGGGACGGGGAGAGATGGGGAGAGATGGGGAGAGATGGGGAGAGATGGGGAGGCATTCTCGCCTCGAACGCGAAGCGAAACTCGCCCGAGCGGGAGACGGGCGGCAGCTGGAAGAAGTCGCCGCAGAGGATGACCTGCACGCCTCCGAAGGGGCGCTCGTCCCGCCTAAAAAAAAGAAATGCGGCGGTGATCGCCACGGCGCTGTCCCTGGGAGAGGGCTAGCTCGTCCGCGGCGTCGCCGCACGGCACGCGCGACAGCCTACCAGCCGGAGGATGCGGAATGAAGACTGGGTCCAGAGCAGGGCGCCAGAGCTCCGCCTCGCGCGGCGCGGAGCCGGGGCAGGCTGAGGAGCGACGTGTCCGTGTAGTGCAGGAGTGCTGTTAGTGTCTGGCTGCGTGCGTGTGAGCTGTGGGCTCCGGGGAGGCGAGCCATCAGAGCTATGCCATGGCGGGACTGGCGAGATGTGGGGAGATCTGGGGAGAGAGGAGGAGACATGGCGAGATCTGGGGAGATATGGGGAGAGAGGAGGAGACATGGCGAGATGTGGGGAGACATGGGGAGATATGGGGAGATCTGGGGAGAGAGGAGGAGACATGGGGAGATCTGGGGAGATCTGCACTCTCAGCATAAACTGGCGTGCTCTCGCGTGTCCTCCTCTCGCGCACGCACCGAAGAGATTGCATCTAGAAGTGCGTGTGCGATCTCGCGTGTGCGTGTGCAGGCCGTGTGCAGGGGCCGTGGACTCCAAAGCTATGCTTCTTTTGGTGCTTGCTTCTTTGGTGCGTCTGCTCACCTCGATCTTGTCCAGCAGCGTGCCGTCGAGCATCGACACCTCGTCAATGACAGAGACGGGGAGATACGGGGAGATATGGGGAGATACGGGGAGAGACGGGGAGAGATGGGGAGAGACGGAGAGATATGGGGAGAGACGGGGGGAGATACGGGGAGACGTGGGGAGATATGGGGAGATATGGGGAGATATGGGGAGATATGGGGAGATATGGGGAGATATGGGGAGATACGGGGAGAGACGGGGAGAGACGGGGAGAGACGGGGAGAGACGGAGAGACGGGGAGAGACGGGGAGAGACGGGGAGAGACGGGGAGAGAGGAGCACCTCATCGATGACAAGCGCCCTGCACGCACGCCACTCGTTCCCTCGCCGCTTGGCTGCGGACCGGATCATGTCGGCCAGCGGCCGCTGTCCGTCGCCGATCCCCGCCCAGTGGTGCAACGTGACGCCGCCGACGGCGCAGGCGGCGATGGCGGTGGTGGCGGTCGCGGCGGTTGTGTCCGCGGGAAGCCGTTTGAGGAGCGACTTGAGAAGGAAGGACTTGCCTGCGGGAGGAGCATGCGGCCGACATCAGGGTTGGAAGGCGGTATGGAGCAGTGTCAAGTGAAGACGCGGAACAACGTCGCATACAGCGGAGTGCGTGTCCTCTCGAGCGCTGGTAGGAGGACCACAGCTTGGTACTCCGCTTCTAGGCGCGAGATATGGGGAGATATGGGGAGATATGGGGAGGTGTGTGGAGATATGCGGAGGTGTGTGGAGATATGTGGAGATATGTGGAGATATGCGGAGATATGGGGGAGATATGGGGAGATGTGGGGAGATGGTCGGAAGACAAGAAGGCTTCTAGGGCGACATGCCCGTGCCGGCGCCGCCCGTGAAGAAGAAGGACTCGCCACGCAACGCCGCCTTGAGCACGGCCTGCTGCTCCTGCATGATGACGGTACGCCAACCTCAGGGCGGGGGTACGGTGCTGTGCAACGTATGGAGCACCGCGTGAGTACCACGGGCTACGAGTCCCGTGAGTACAGCCGAGTACGGCCGAGTACAGCGGCGTACGTGTCCTCTCGAGCGCTAGCCGGGATACAAGAACACGTGGTCCGCTTCTAGGCTGCCGCTCCTCCGACAGCGCCTGCCTTGTCGACGGCGACAGCACGGGCGACGGCCGCAGCGGCAGCGATCCGGGCGACGGGCGCAGGTCGCGCGCCTTCCTCCGGCTGACGACGGTCGGAGAGGCGAGCGAAGGGGAGGCGGCGACGTTGGCCGCTGCGGGCGTCCGCTTCGCCAGCGGACGCGGCGGAGGGGAGGCGGCGGGCCGCTCGTCGCGCCGTCCCGCCGCTCCGCCCTTGAGAGCGTGCAGCCACTCGGCGAGCCTCGCCGGCTCGGCGTTGGAGAGGAGGATCTGCTTGTGCTGCCGCGCGAGGGTGAGAGTCGCCTTGCCGTCGCGCACGAATCGGGCGAGCAGGGCGACTCCGCCAGCCACCGGCCACTCGTGCTGCTCCTTCTCCTTCGCGCGGTCGCCGACCACGAGGAGCGCCCGGTTCGAGTCGTCGAGGCAGAAGCCGATCGCGGTGCGGCGCATCTGCTGCGTCCTCACCGGCCGCTGGCTCCGCGCGCACAGCGTCTGCACGAGGACATCTACATTGTCAAGCCAGACCATGTCGGTCTGGGGGCGCTGCCGCTTCGAGCAGAACACAGAAAAGAAATACTTGCCCCCGAAGAGCGTTTTTCTTTTTAGGTCATTTTTTTAAAAAGATGCGCTGCAGCTATAAGCGCGTTTGCTATTCGAAATACAAGTGCGCTCACTTAATGATTTTCGGCCGGCCGCAGGTCGGGCTGGACGCGGCTGTTTCGGCCGGCGGTCGGGGTCGGACACCAGCTTTGTCGGCGCGTCAGCGCCGAAGAAAATTTTGGGCGATTTTCTTGTACTCCCGTCACTTCCAGCTCACGCTCCCGGTTTTGTCAAATAGGATTCGAATCTCGAACTTCTATTTACTCCTTGAGGTTCCCTCAGGCCCGCCGCCGCGCTCGCTGGACAGCGGCCGTGACTCACCTGCTTCGGGCGCGCTGCTCCTCGGGGATGGCGAGAAGCGGCAGAGATGATGCTCATAGATGAGCTAGCCCCAGATGCCCCGTTTGCCCCACTGCGGCCGCGCCGCGCTCGTGCCGGCGTGCGAGTGGGTACAATGCACCCCCTCGGCCGCTCGCGGCCCGGAACGCATCGGGAGATATTCATTCGTATACGCCAAGACGTGCTCAGATGGCACGTAGTAGTGTGACTGAGCGCGTGGCCACTCTCCACCCTCGATTGCGGGTGCGGCCGCGGCCGCAGTGGTGTAGGCGGACAGTAATGATGCCGCGCGGGCGGAGTGGCGGACACGAGGACGCTGCCGTCGGACGAGGGGTTGCTATCATACGCAAGCACGAGCCGTCGGTGACGCGACGGCGTCATCACCGTTGGCCAGCATAGAAGCGCGAAAACCTGCCGTGTGTCGGATGCGTCCCCAAACTTGTAGCGCTACATCTTTGGACACACACCGGCGGGCGCTTTCGAGGCGACCGGCAGCATTTTTTCTAGCCACATGGACCTTTTTGCGGCACGATAGCTGGGCTGCAACATACGTGTACCTACACTCGACTACAGCTACGACTGCAACGGCGCGCAGCGCCGAAGAAAATTTTGGGGCTTCTCGAGCGGCGGCCGGTGTGGACGCCGTTGTTTCGCAGCTCGGTCGGGGGGGGGCGCCCCTGCGTTTCCCTGCGGTCGGTCGAAAATCATTAAGTGTGCGCACTTGTACCTGCGTTTCCGCTAACGGAAGCGACAGCCTCCAGACACACACCTCATACACACATATGGAGCCCCTCTCTCGCCCCCCTGGCGGCGGCAGTGGCCATGGCGACGCTGACGGCGGTGGCACTCGTGGGACGTGGCGGTGACACTCGTGGCCGCGGCGGCGCCTGGGCAGCAGAGAGCTGTCGCTGCAGTGCTGGCGGCAGCTGGCGGCGGCGGCTGGATGCGGCGGCTGGCGGCGGCATTGCTGGCGGCGGCCATGCGGGGGAGGCGTTGCTGTGGCGGCGATGCAGCGCTGTCCTCGCGGCTGACGTGCGCCCGGGGTAGCAAGCACTGGCAGTCTGCCGGCGCGGCCGGCGCATTCGAATGCGCCCGCCGCGCCGGCAGACTGTTGGATGGCCACAGTCGCGAAAGTGGGTGAAGTACGTGCGGCGCCGTGGCAGCGGTGGCCAGGCGGCCCCTCTCGGTGCGCCACCGCGACCGCGTTGCGCTCTCGCGCCTCGCCATGCTGCAGGCTGGACGTCAGGGACATTTGTCGCGACTTTCAATAGGGAAAACGCAACGCATCTTGAATACGAGTACTCGTATGGCTGCAGGGCATCTTTAATGGATAAACAGAGAAAGAGAGTGTTGGGCGGCCACTGACGGTATGGTCTTGCACTTGTGCAAGATTGGGCGTATTCTGCTGCAGTCCCTTGATGGGAGGCCCCAGGGTGGGGGCCACCTCGGTTACTGGACCGTGTTCAACGACGTTGAACATTGTTCAACGTCGTTGAACACTACTTAGGAATGGCCGTAGCTCCTCTCCACGAGCGATTGAGAAGACGTACCACGTGTCGATTCTGTATAGAATTGCAAGGCGCACACGCTGGTGCAGGCGGGGAGTCGTCGATCCGACTCGTTCCGACGTGAAGTCGCCGTGAAGGATTGGCAAACAGGGCATTTTGCCCAAGATTTGCCCTCCCGCGCGATCTTCTCGCGTCGGCAAGCGCGCGGGCCAGGATGGGCGAGCCGGTCCCGCCACGCTGGGCGGGCCAGCGGCTGGCACGCGCCGGCCACTCCGGCGGCGCGGCGGCCTCATCGCGCTCGTCGTCTGCGAGGCCACCGCTCGGCGTCGCCGCGTCCGACGGCGATGGCGCTTGGCTGTGAGGTGGGATGGCGGCATGGTGCGCGCGGACGTGGGGGTGGTGCGGGATGCGCGTGCCAGCAAGCATAGTTTCACCTCCCCAACCCCGCAGGCGCGCCGACGTGCTGCCCGAGCGCGTTTGGAGGCAGCAGCAGCTCCTCGCGAGGCGCCTTCGGAGGGGTGCCACACCCCTTTCCCAGCCGCGCGCGAGTTGAGCTCCGATTTGCGCTCTTTTTCGCACACGCCCGACGCTAGTAGGTGAGGATCGACCATCCTCCGCAAGCAGGGCTTCGTCGGGCGCGTCTTCGTCGAGCGGTGGTGCATCTCCCATGCTCCCACCCGCGCCCTCCTCGCAGCCCGCCCGCGGCCGACACCGACGCCCTCACGGGCTCACCCTAGTCGTAGGTGCGGGTTTTTTGCGTGCCCTCCGTCGATACGGGGCGCTGGGCGATGGCTGGGCTTGTCGCCGGGCGAGCTGGCCCCTCAGTCGGCCGCGGAGCGGAGATGCGAAATCGAGGCGGCGCGGCCCCTGCGCGCAGCCTATCCGGCCGGCGCGCGCATGGTTCCGTAGCCCGTCTAGTGCCTCACTGACCAACTCCAGCGCTACGGTCTACGTGGCCGGTGTGGTACTGGGGCTGGGCAGCCTTGGGGCCGGCGGAGACCGCCGTCTAGCGGTCGCACTAGTCGGATATCGTTGTTCAACCTGTTTGTTCAACGGTTGTTCAACCATACTTTGAGCCTTAATTATTAATTCGGGTTTGGGTCTCTGAGGTCGATACTAGCGTCTATAACTTGCCACAAGCATGCTTTACAAAAGTCCAGCGGAGCTGGACTCGCAGAACGGCCGTCCGCGCGCGCTGTGAACAGCGCCGTGGTTGAACACTGTTCAACGTCGTTGAACACGTGACGGTCCAGTAACCGACCTCGAACCCCACCGTTGGACTGTGCGCTGCGCTGTCGCTCTGTCGAGCACGCTCTCGTGCTTCGTTGTGAAACGGGATGATCGCAGAGAGGTGCGTCTTGCCTTTCTGTCGCGCCTACCGCGCGTTGGCGACTCGCAGAAACCACTGCAGTCTGCGGGAGCCACGTGGACAGCAGTTTCCCGAAGCTGGCCAATCCCGACAGTTGGCTCCCGAGTGACAGCCCCGTCATGGAGTTCCATGCGATGAACACTCGGGGCGGAGGACACGCTTTGAAGACTTCGTCACGATACCGCCCTCCTCGCCTGCGGCGAGCGCCGCAGCATGGGACCTCATCCCGAGCAGGCTAGGCAAGTCCCCGAGATACTTTGCTGGCTCCCGTTGGCAGCTATGTCTTCGGTCGGATTAGCCTCAAGGAGCTCTGCTGGCGCAGCGCTATCACTTGCTACGAAACTTTGCTACGCAACTCGATTACGCGGGGGCCCAGACCCGGCGTCCCACTCTCGTGTGAGGGGGCTCCTGACTGACCTGGCTATCGACTCATCGGCTCTTGTGGCCGAGAGGCTGTCAACCTACTGAGTTGGGTGGTAAGCACACTGAGGGCAGATAAGTCTCCTCAGTACCCTTTCGGTTTGGGCTCCGCTTCAGCGCGCATCTCGGAGGCGTGATCGGCCGGTGCACTGCGTGCACGCCCGAGCGCGTCTGCTTCGGAGCTGCCGCAATGCCGCTAATGCTTCAGCGCAGGGCGCCCAGCGCCACCCCCGAGCCCCGCCTTTGGTGGGACAGCGGCCGCTTGCGTGTCTCGTCTCTGTCGCCGCCTGGACAGCGGCGCGGCGAGGCAGCTGCGCGCTGGACAGCGGTGCGGCGAGGCAGCTGTGCGCTAGCCCCGCTCGACTCAAGGCCTCCGTCCATCTCCTCTCGTCTCATCGCCGCCTGGACAGCGGCGCGGCGAGGCAACTGCGCAGTGGCGCCGCCTCTCGACTCGAGACGCCCGTCCGTCGCCTCTCGTCTCTGACGCCGCCTGGACAGCGGCGCGGCGAGGCCTCCGTCCATCGCCTCCCGTCTCATCGTCGCCTGGAAAGCGGCGCGAGGCAGCTATGCGCTGGACAGCGGCGCGGCGAGGCAGCTGTGCGCTGGCGCCGCCTCTCGACTCGAGGCCTCCGTCCGTCGCCCCTCGTCTCTGTCGCCGCCAGTACAGCAGCGCGGCGAGGCAGCAGGGCGCTGGCGCCGCTATCCGCTCGAGGCCTCCATCCGTCGCCTCTCGTCTCATCGCCGCCTGTACAGTGGCGCGGCGAGCAGCTGTGCGCGGGACGGCGGCGCAGCTAGGCAGCTGTGCGCTGGAAAGCGGCGTGGCAAGGCAGCTATGCGCTGGACGGCGGCGCGGCGAGGCAGCAGTGCGATGGCGCCGCCTCTCGACTCGAGGCCGCCGTCCGTCGCCTCTCGTCTCATCGCCGTCCGGACAGTGGCGCGGCGAGCAGCTGTGCGCTGGACGGCGGCGCAGCTAGGCAGCTGTGCAATGGCGCCGCCTCTCGACTCGAGACGCCCGTCCGTCGCCTCTTGTCTCTGTCGCCGTCTGGACAGCGGCGCGGCGAGCGGTGCGGCTAGCAGCTGTGCGTTGGACGGCGGCGCAGCTAGGCAGCTGTGTGCTGGCGCCGCCTCTCGACTTGAGGCGTCCGTCCGTCGCCTCTCGTCTCCGTCGCCGCCTGGACAGCGGCGCGGCGAGGCAGCTATGTGCTGGACAGCGGTGCGGCGAGGCAGCAGTGCGCTGGCGCCGCCTTTGACTCGAGGCCTCCGTCCGTCGCCTCTCGTCTCATCGCCGTCTG